GGGAGGGAGGGAGGGAGGGAGGAAAGAAGGAAGGAAGGAAGGAAGGAAGGAAGGAAGGAAGGAAGGAAGGAAGGAAGGAAGGAAGGGAGGGAGGGAGGAAGGGAGGGAGGAAGGGAGGTCTCAAACCTCAGAAAAATCTGGTACAATGAGATGCATGATCCTGAGCGAGTCTTCTCAGGACTAAATTTCATCTTTATTGCAAGGGTTTCAAGTAATTTGATGCATTATTTTTCCCTGAAGGGTTTCCTGGATTCTTAATTTGGCTTGTTATAGAACAGTTATTTTCTCTTCTACTTCTTTAAACCTGCCTGTGGACAATAAGAGTTTGCCTAAGAGTTGTTCTTACCATGAAAATGTAAGTTCTGTGGCAGTGCCCAGAATTAACAGTGTAGAAAATAACACTTTGAGAAAAATCACAGGGAATTAGATACCCGAGTCTTTTGAAAACTGATTTTTACTTGTCTTAAGATACATTTTTGAGTACTGAATTTCTAGATTTTTTAAACAAATTATTAAGAACAACTCAATATGTTTTTGACTTCTAAACCATTGCTTCTCAAACCATTTTATATACGAATCACCTGCCAATCTTGTCAAAATGAAATAAGTCTGGGTTGGTGCCTATGAACTACATTTATGTCAATTTCCCAAATAAGGGTGCAAGTACTGGTACACGGATCACACCTTGAAAAGGAGGGTTCTTGAACTCGTGTAGAATTTGATAAAATCTAAAACCTAACTTTTGATGAAACAGACACATTCACACATATACTCACACCTTAACATTTTAACATTTCAGAGTTTTACAGGAACCCACCTCCAAAGCCCATCTATGGAGACCAGTTAAGCACTTCTAACCTGGAGAAAGGGGCTCAAATGAATAGCTTCAAATTATCCGTCACTAGGAAAACACGTGGTGCACGTCACAACAGCAAAAGAAGTCCTAGTGTCAGATTAGAAAAGGAAGGGACCCAGGATACAGGCCTGCTGCTATTATTTCACGGCGAGGATGATCACTGAAAACTTATGGCCTTCCCAAACTTAGAATTATGTTCATAAAATTGTCATGTTATAGCCAGATTCTACCCTGACCATATTATTTGAACACTGAGCATCAATGTTTTCTTTTAAGAACATAATGTATGTCTGCTAGCCCTCGCCCACCAAAATCCAACACATCAGGAGGGTTCCTATTTGTCTTTTTGTTGTTGTTGTTAATCCTCACCCAAGGACATTTTTTTCCCCATTGATTTTTAGAGAGAGTGGAAGGCAGGGGGAAAGACACACACAGAGAGAAACATCGATGTGAGAGAGACACATCGATTGGTTGTTTCCTATCTGTCCTCCCCTCTCCCCGCCCCCCGCCCCCAGTGGACCAGGAGCAGGGGCAGGGGCAGGGGAGTAAGCCTGCAAAGGAAGTACGTGCCCTTGACTGGAATGGAACCTGCGAACCTGCAGTCTGCAGGCCAACGCTCTATCCACTGAGCCAAACTGGCTAGGGCAGGAAGTTTCCTACTTGAACAGTTGCCTGTGGCGTGCTACATTCTTTTCCTTCATCAGCTCCTCTTCTATCGCTGGCTCTTACCTATTCAGTTTTATAGTGAAAGACTGAACAGAATCTGAATAAGAACCTAGAGCAGTGATGGCGAACCTGTGACACGCATGTCAGAGGTGACACGCGAACTCATTTTTTTGGTTGATTTTTCTTTGTTAAATGGCATTTAAATATATTAAATAAATATCAAAAATATAAGTCTTTGTTTTACTATGGTTTCAAATATCAAAAAAATTTCTATATGTGACACGGCACCAGAGTTAAGTTAGGGTTTTTCAAAATGCTGACACGCTGAGCTCAAAAGGTTCGCCATCACTGATAGAGAGTATTCTGAGGAGAATAAGTAATTCCCGTTCCTTTCATACCGTGTACCTGTTTAGACATTCTCAGACCCCTACCTATTTGTTGTATAACAGCTGTGAACAAAAAAGTGATTTATGTTCTTATTTTTTATCCACTAGAAGAAGCTGAAGATGTGTCTTCCACAAAGAAGCAAAAAAGTAAGTTTACAATTAGATTAAAACTGTTATGTGGATCTGTAGTAAAGGTGGTACATATACATTAAAACTAAATTCTCTGAAGACCAGTATGAGAATAAAAAGGTTTTTAGTACATGAAGAATAACTTTAGAGTGGATCATTTATACTTCAAACAGTAGCTCATTACTTTTTGTGTCAGGCAAGATGCACGTATTTGGAGGAATTACAACATAATGACTCAAGAGGCATTTGTCGCCAACCATTCTCCACAGCTCTGATCTGAGCACTTCAGCTAAATCTGTGCTTAGATATGTTACTGTCTGCTTTATAAAAAAGACAGCTGAAGTGATAAGCTGAACATTTTTACATCAAAAAATGTAGGTATGTCATTGATGGAAAGTTTTTTTTATTTTTCTAACTAGATGGTAAGCTTTTAATATTCAATTTTGGAGATCATTGATTTTAGAATGCAATCAATATTCATATGCAGTTACAAAATTCAATGCCCATGATTCTCATTATTCCTCTACTTCCAAATTAGACATTTTTCTTCAGTTGGTAAAGCAATACCATCTGAATAGCAATTTTGGATTCATATATGCAATAAAATTGTTGCTGAGCAGAATAAAAGAAGCAATTTTTAAAATAGGTATAACTGGAGTTTGTTCTACATAATGCTTTTAAAGTAAAGAACAGACATTTACCTGAGGAAATGATGTTAATGTTCTCTGGGTTCTACAATGCTTCTTAAATGTATTTCTGCAGGAAATTATGAAAATGCCCTCTGCATTAGCAAATGTCTCCTACTCTGTATTAGTATGTGATTCATTGAACAAATATTAAGTGCCTACTGTGTCCCAAACTCTGTTTAGCTATTAGAGATGCTCATTATAACCCCTCAAATTATGAGGACATGAGGAATACAAGAAAACAAGCAATCTTAATAATATGTTTAGATATTGTTGCAAAATCCATAAAGTCAATCTGGGTATGTTTCTGATTTATACAGCAACACTTTCCTAATTGTTTATCTACTGGTAACAATTTGTGGCTATATCACATAAACACTTAAAATCTCTTATTTCATAAATAAATTTTCAAAACATAATTCAATAAGATAGGTGGATGGTGTCAATATCAATTTCCTGGTTGGGATATTGCACTATAATTTTTCAAAGATGTTACCATTGGGGGAAACCGGGTGAAGGGTACATGGGATCCCTCTGTATTATTTTTATTTTTATTTCAAAATAAAAAGTTTAATGAAAAATAAACAAATAAACAATTCAATATTTTAGTAAAATGATATTACATATTTTAATTCAATTGGCAGACTTACTATAGCAAAACAATATTTTCTATTTTCAACTTACTATGGAGTAGTCCTGTAGTCTGATACTCATGCAACTTACATAAGCTCTAAAATTTGCAGCTATAGTGATGTGTTTTTTAAAATATATTTTTATTGATTTCAGAGAGGAAGGGAAAGGGAGAGAGAGCTAGAAACATCAATAGTGAGAGAGAATCATCAATTGGCTGCCTCCCACAAGTCCCACACTGGGAATCGAGCCCGCAACCTGGGCATGTGCCCTGACCAGGAATCTAACCGTGACCTCCTGGTCATAGGTTGATGCTCAACCACTGAGCCACACTGGCCGGGCTATAGTGATGTTTTCATTAATGGCCTATTCAACACTGATTAAATAAATGTCTTAGAATAGAGCCTACCTCTGATAAGGTTCATCTGTAAGGTAGACTGTCTTTGATGGACTCTTCTGCTTTTAGCGATGGTACTCGCATTCCTCCTTAACACAGGCCTAGCTGTCATGCCATCCCTCTCAGAAGCCTGTCTCTCTCCCAAGCTGCAACAACCTTGGGGGAGGCGACAAGGTCTGATACTGCATCTGTTTGGTACTAGAACAAAATGGGAAATAATTCTGCATGAGATGAAGTGGAAAGGAACAGATTTTTTTTTCCTTCCAAGAATTCTCCAAACTCTTTTCATTATTGAAAACCCAGGATTGAAGCCAGTTGACACCAATTCCGGAATAGTAATCTCTTGAATAATCTCTTGCTGCTTCCCTCCGCTTTTTATTCAACCCAGGCTTTTCTTTATTCTTTACTTGCTTTATTTGGCCAGCTTCCTGGTATTCCCCGTACGACTAGCTTGCACTGTCATTCTCTTTCCTGGCCATCTGCAAAAGAGTCTGTCGTTGGGTGACAGCCTGCAAATGGACAGGATGGAAAACATTGAACCTGGCCATCTCTGAACAAGCTGCTACCTGGGAGCCCCAGCCTCCTGGGCCAGAGCTCAGGCTTGTATCTGCTGTGTACAGCGCCTCACGCGGCTTCAACTCCTTTCCTGGGTTGCTTTCTGCTCTGACAACAGAGCTGCTACCTGGCGGCATTGCCTAATGAGTAAAGGCAAGTGGAATATCTAACAATAGGAACCACAAGGCTCTCTGTGGTATTATTAAAACACTTTTAAAGAGTCAGTTACTTTGCATATTGATAAACTTGTGTTTTGAAACCTACATAACAATTTTTCTGAATGCTGTGCACATCAGTAGAGGTCTATGGAGTAAGCCCTTGGACATTTATGCTAGACCTGTGGTCGGCAAAGCGTGGCTCTTTGGCCCCTTGAGTGTGGCTCTTCCACAAAAAACCACGTGCGGGCGCGCACGTACAGTGCGATTGAAACTTCGTGGCCCATACGCAGAAGTCGGTATTTTGTGGAAGAGCCGGTATTTTGTGGAAGAGCCACACTCAAGGGGCCAAAGAGCCGCATGTGGCTCGTGAGCAGCGGTTTGCCGAGCCGCAGTTTGCCGACCACTGTTTATTAGCCATTCAGTAAGGGCTTATTGTGTGCCAGGAAGTATTTCAAGTGCTTCATGTATATTACCTATTCATTTCCACATTTTTTTGAGGTTTTCTGTTGCTGTCTCAATTCTACACATGAGGAATCCAAGACACCAAGTTTTGGTAACTTGCCAGTCATGGTCAAGGCTACCTGGCTATCCAACCCATGTCCACATACATTGTGGTACAGTGCCTTGTTGTGCTCCCCTTCGTTCTGCTTCTTTTAACTAATTATCATGCTCCGTTCCACAGGCCCCATCAGTTTCTTCCAATGTGTGTACCTGAATGGTTACAACGGCTACGGGTTTCAGTTTCCGGTCACTCCTGCCCAGCGCCCTGCAGAGAGCTCTGCGCCACCCGGTTCTCCAGCACAGAAGCCACAAGGACAGTAGGCCTATGCGTGGCCAGTATAAGTGCTTTAAGACTTTGAGAATAGCATCTTCCATTTGTCCACACTGGCACAGGCGATTGACATAAAGGAATTCAGGGAATTTCTTTGAAACTATTCTACTGTTCTGCCTGGTGTAGAAAAATAAATGGGTAAAAAGATTGAATAATCAGCACACATGTTGAAATCTGGCACTCAAGCATCTGCCATTCGTGTTTGTTGTTGGCCTGGGTGCTTATCTGTTTCTACTTCCATCACCGCAGGGTTGTTCACAAATTCATTTAAGGTTTACTTAACAATTGTCTTTTAAATGTAATTGACACCATTAAAAAATGAAATTCCTGACGTCAGTTAGATAGGTATTTTTAAATGAAAACACAGACTATGCTTTAAGTTTAACGAGTACAGGAACTTATATAAAAGCTACTCTTTTGCATCATGGGTATCTAAACTCAATTTACCAATAGGTTGATGTTTAATAGTTTCGTTGTATTTATGTCTGTTTCTATTTTAGTTGTAACTGTGCTCCAAGACCAGGTTACAGTTCCACCAAAGAGTACTATCAGTTTCTTGTGATGCTATTTTTGAGCTCCAAATATCTCTGAAGTTTAGACATGACAAGAAGGAATAGAAATGTTTGATAAATCTTTTTCTCTAAGATTGTAATCAGGACATTCTTTATTTTGAATTGTATTTAGGACATTCACTCTAGTGGAAATACAGGCAGGTCTGGTGAATC